GAAACGAAGGCTGAGGACTATAGTCCTCAGCTGTTTCAGAGGACGCCCGTTTTTCGGGCACCCGTTTCGTCTCAGGAAGGTTAGTTTTTTTTATTTTTATTGTTTTAAGATTTTTCTTTTAATCCTAGTTTTTTTTTCTTAGATTTGGTTAAGATTTTTTTTTTTTTTTTTTTTTGTCTTCTTTTTCTCTTTTTTTTTAAGTTTGTTGGGCACCCGTTCGTTTTGAACAAACGGGTAACTCTGTGCCAGACTGTTTCGTCGGAATCTCACCGACTCATCAGGAGGCTGAACCCCGACAATCTCCTCCAATGCCTGTACCTAGCGCCAATAGCGTCCAAGTACAGACACCGGAAGAGAGAGAGAGAGAGAGAGAAGGGGGGGATAGGGGTTGTGCTAGGCTGTTTCGTCGGAGTTGCACCGACTCATCAGGAGGTTGGACCTCGACAGTCCAACGTTGCGCCTGAACCTGGCGCCGGAGGCAGCCAGGTGCAGAGAAAGAAAGCCTACCTACCTACCTACCGACCTCCTACCTACCTACCTACCTACGTGGCTTTGGACAACGCCACGCCCATCCATAAGGATGAGCCAAAAACGAATGAATCTACCCCCAGGTCATGAGGGTATACAGACGCCAATTCAAGGCGTTAGCAAAAACTGCAGGTAACGTTTTTTTTTATATATTCTTTTTTTTTTTGTTTCGTTTTTCTTTTTATTGCGGTTTCCCCCGTTCGTGAGCCGTTGAGGCTCGACCAAACTGGGAAAACAAAGGAGGCTGAAACTAGAAAACTAAAAAGAGTGGGAAAAGAAAAAAAAAAAAAAAAGTAAAACAAACGAGGCAATTGCCTCGTGAAAGAAAGAACAGTCATGTTGGACTGTGTGGGAGCACGAAGGCTCCCACTTCAGTTTTGAAAAAAACCATTGTGGCCACGAGATCTCAGATCTCGTAGCCCACAGCGCGCGCGTGGAGATGGGACTGAGGGAGTAGAGGAGAGGGAGTGAGAGAGAAAAACGGGCTAGTTGGGAGGAGGAGGTCCTACTCCTCCCAACCTGCCAACTGGCTTCCCCGTTTTCAGGGGAAGACAGCAGAGGAAAGGAAGGGGGTTGTTGCATACAACAGCATGCACCTGGCCAAGGTAAAAGCCAGGTGCAGTAGAAATTAGAAAGTCAGTTTTTTTCTTTTCTTCTTCTTTACTTAGTGAGAGAACACTTGTCCTCACGTGGTGCTACTTCTGGCAGAAGCTGCCAGAGGTAACTGTTAGGCTCCCGTTTTTGCTGGGAGCCTGCAAATTTAAGGGCCACTAAGGAAAAGGCTAGATGCAACCTTTTCCCCGACGTACCTGCCCTGGAAAAAGGATCCAGATGCATCAAACTGAAAAGGGTTGTATCTTTTCAACCCTTTATCAGAAAAATAAAAGAAAAACAGATTTGGAAATGGCAGGAGCCCATCTATCTTGCCAGATTCCGAGATAGCTGGGGGAAAGAAAAATAAAATAAAATAGGGTAGTTAAAGAAATTGCCCCACACTAAGGCTGTGGTTGTGGTGCGACCACAATCTACCCTGGATCTTGGCAGATCTAGGGCTCACAGTGAGCCCGCTCAGCCAATATAAAAAAGGCAGCTGCCCCCTCATCCAATATAAAAAAGGCAGCTGCCCCCCAGCTGCCACACAATTGCACTCGTGCTGCCAGTGTGTGACGAGCACACTTGAGTGCTGGCTACTGGAGTTGCTGCCTGAGGCAACGAGAGGAGAGGCTGGAGGACTGCAGAGGAGCGCAAGGAGGAGGACTGGGCAGCCATAGCCAAGGCAGGGAGCACTCTGCTCCCCTCACCTCTAGCTGGTGCTAGTCCCACGGGACAGACCCAGTAGTACTGCGGGACTGCGGCAGTGCGGCGCTGTGGGATTTGGGCCTAGGGCCCAAATTTTACTAATTTTGGCTTGCAATTTTCCCACTATAGTAGGGAAGTGTTGCCGAAATTTTACAGCGGCAGCCCCGGGTTTTACTGCGGTAGTACGGAAGTGCTGCCGAAATTCTGGAGCGGCGGCCCGGGTTTTTACTGCGGTAGTACGGAAGTGCTGTCGAAATTCTGCAGCGCGATACTGTTTTTTTCAGCGGTGGTGCGGAAGCGCTGCCGGATTGTTGCGGCAGCAGTTCTGTTTTTTTCAGCGGTGGTGCGGAAGCGCTGCCAGATTGTTGCGGCGACGGTTCTGGGTTTTTTCAGCGGTGATGCGGAAGCGCTGCCGGATTACGGCGGCAACTCCGGTTTTTTACGACGGTAGTGCGGGAGCCCTGCTGGATTTTTTTTGCGGCGTCAGTAACATATTCTTGCAGTGACGGCGCTATTTTACGACGGTAACGGCAGTATCAGTGCACTAGGTGGAGGAGGGACGTTGACGCAGAGGGGGTGCGTCAAAGCGGTGTTTCCATTTTGAAGCGACGTGAGGGTGACACCGCAGAGACACCATACTTTGGACGCAAGTGGTCGTAACTAGAAAACGCCACCTGGATTAGTTGAAAGTGATTGAGTGTTGAGAGGGTGCTGTGGGAGGCGTCGTCACAAGGGAGTGGTGTCGATTACTTTGGTGACGACTGGGTACGCCAACCTTCTCGTCACGAGAGCGTAAAATTTATACGGTCTTCTTGAGTGTACCGTTAAAACTTCACTAAAGGTCCGTTAAATTGACTCAGTTCCCTTCACACCTGAGTGAACTCACACTTGCTTTGACCTGTTTCACTGAATGTTCATTGAAAAAGGGGAAGAGGATGTGTGTTCTTGCATGTATGACTGGGAGTCTGACAATGGTAAAGGAATGCATGGTGGTCTGTGTGTCGTTGGGTTTTGACTGCAGGTACGGCAAATGGATTGAAATGGACGAGGATAATGACGGTGAAAGAATGGTTGACTTTTCATCTTTGTGCTTGTGTTTTATGTATAAATAAAAGAAAAAGAAGACGACGAGAAACGAAGCGAGCATAAGGAAGAGAAGTTCAACTTGGTTTAGACTTATTCCTGAGGTTACCCATTCTTTCCCGAAAAACCCTCTTCCATCTATGCCTGTCTGTCTGAATGATTCTATCTTTCTACGATTCCTCTTTCTTCGTCTAAGTTTACTTTGACGCTAGGCAGCAAGACTTTACTTGTCTGCCGTGTAGGTGTTTTCCCTTTTTCTAGGAGGCATCTGGGGCGGGGGTTCGTTGCCTTAGGGGCCGGCCCTGTTATCGACTCAGAGTGGACCGCTTTGCGGGGGGGTACTATGCCGATTCGGTGGAGATGGCCCGGCTTCTGAGATCCGAGTTTTGTACTCGCGCGAGGAGAAGGAGTATCCCAGACTGCCTCTTAGGGTAATAGAAAAGGCATCTACACGGAAGAAAATTATTTCTTGACGCCTTGTGAAAAAGGAAAATTGCCTTAGCAATCCTGTTTTAAGTGGTCATCCTAGGTACCACTACCGTATGGAGAGTTGGCGCCACAAGCAGGCCTACTCATGTCCTACTAGCTGAACGGAGTACAGTTAGATACTCCTGACGTGGTTGGTCGTGTCATAAGAAACACGGGCCGTAAGGAAGACAAAACCCGAATAATACTCAAGGGCAAAAGTTTAACTCAAAACACATTTTTCTTCTTTTTCTTTCAGATGGCTATGGAAACCACGAAACTATTCCTTTTCAACAATTGTGATGTGGCAGCGGAGAGAGTTGAACTCCAAAGGCGTAATGGAGTGAGGGTAGAAAGGGTAGGCCGACCTTATTTATAATCCGCCAGAATTATATTCTGAGGAGGAAGTTCCGCGATTTTGGGGTGGTAGTGCGCAAGGACCCCCCAGACGACTTGTTTTCAAGAGTGATAACGGCCTGTATATTCTTCATTACGAGTTCGCACCGCCATTGCCTGAGCGTCACTTTGTCAATATGAACCTCGTGGTGTTGCAGCCCTATGAGATCAACACATGAGTGGACGAAATCCCTGAAATAAGGTTGATGTTCGTCCGTTACGTGCTTTGGCTGAACGAGCGACAAGGCTCATTTTTTTGGCATATACTACGCGGAGTGGATACGTGCCAATAGGTACGCAATCATAGGGGCTGAAGCGTTATATGATGATGAATTGGAAAATGAAGCGGAAGAACTCGAGGAGTTTTTACGTGACTGATTTGGATTCGTTCTGATACGCAGATGCCTGGAGCGCGACGAGACTTGACGATCCCGAGGTATCTGTTGGTTCATGATACACACGAGGAGGATTTCATCAGGAGTGCGGCGCGACTTTTACGAGTTTGAGATGGATCTCCTATCGACTGGTTCGGCTTCATTGGACTGCTTCGAAATGGCGAGGGATTTTTCCCTAATACTCACGTGGATTTTAGAGCCAACACGGCTCAAACTTCCGATGAGCTTTACGATTATACTTTGTATTTCCACCGCGCGAGTAACCTCCAATGTCTCTCTCAAGTCATTGTGAGTATCCTGTCGTAGGGGACCGTGGGATGTATAGCTGGCGCACTCGGTTAGAGCGGCGAAGGAGCGAAGCAACCGTGTCCGTCTTGGCGGTTCACGGAACAGTATGCGTCGTTCCCGAGTTGTCTCTGTTTTAAGTAAACTCCTGCGTGACATGGCCGGGAGGGCCCTCGTTTTCACGCGAGGGCCGATGCGCTCGACAGGTGGCGCCGTTGCCGGGGATAACGACAAACTACCGTTGTTCCTAGCGGAACGACACTTGGGTGATTTATGGAGTAAGAAGTTATTTTCTTTTTCTAATTTGACCTAAAAAAAAGTCTGTGATTTGATCCCAAAATCATGAGATATTATTTATGCAGAAGGATTGAATGATTTCTGTTAAAATATTGTTGTTTTTCTTCACTTAAGATGGCTGGTAACAACGACAATCAGGATGGGAGAAGCAATGACATTCAGGAGCTTGCAAAAATTATTCAGCAGTCATAGAAGGATCAAATCCCGAAGGTTGACGTTCCATTGTTTGATGGTAACAACGCATCGGGATGGGCAGAAAAGTTCGAGCAATTGGAAAGTTGTTGCGAATGGTCGAATGAAAAGATGCTGCGAATGGTGAAGAGATACTGCAAGATCCAGTACAAGGAAGAGGTGGAGGAGTTGGTACAAGATTCGCTGGATTGGGCAGAATTCAAAAGGAAGCTGCTAGAAAAGTACCTGTTGAGCGATCAATTGTTGGACTTGACCGATTTGAGGAAGGTTAGTCGGAAAAGCTTTGGTACAACAAAGCAGTTCCTTACAGAATTCGAGCGGGTGGAGAAATTAGTTCCTGACCTTCCAGATAACGATCGTTGCCTCATCTTCCTGGATAATTTCACGGAGGTCGAACAGCTAAAGTTGGTGAAAGGCATGTAAGAAAGGTATGATTGGCCAAAAATTTGAGAGAATTTATTGGCCGGGGACTTCGACCAGATCCTCTATCGGCTGCTGAAACAGCAGAAAGAAAATCGGAAGAGGTTACAGGTGGGGACGGACAAGGACAAGGGTGTCTACAAAACCTTATCTGACATGAGAGAAATGATGAGCAGTATGAAGGAGAGACGGTTAAAACTTCAAGTGATGATGACCAAGGCGAAAACTGGGAAGAGAAAAGGGAAGGAGCCTGTCACTGAAGAGAGTAGCAGTGAGAGTGAGAGCGAGGAGGAACGGGGACCCCCTCGTAAGTTGACCAAGGCTGAGAGGAAAGCCTTGAACCAGATACGAGGAGGGCAAGGTACTTCTTGTAAACAAGGAGAAAGCAGCAAGAACGGAGGAAATGGAAGCGGGAAGCGACAGGTTGACCAAGGACAACAGAATCAAGGTCAACAGACTCAACCACAGGGTGGTCGAGGCCGTGGTAGAGGCCGCGGAAACGGAGGCAGACGTGGGAACTGGCAGGAATACGTCTGCAAATATTGCGATATGAAGGGACATGTTATTCATTTTTGCCAGATTCTCGCCAAGGACGAGAAGGACCATGTCGTCTTCACGATGATTCGAGGATAAGACTTTTACTTCGAGGGAAATCTCATCGATGAGGATATTGAAGGAGGAATGAGAAAGGAGACTTTTCGACGGATGGGCCGTCCTCTTCCGGCTACATTTCGGTTAGCTTCTACTGAAGAAGCAATCCTTTTTGAGTTAGAAGAAACAATGGCTTCTCTGGAGATTGGTGGGTGTGACGAAAAAGAATTGGAGGAAAGGAAAAAAAACATTGCTCATCGGGCGCGAGAAGTGACCAAGAAACTGGGCAAATGTCGAGATTCCATTGTTTAATTATGTGTTGACATGAAAGAAGTCTGGCCGAATCTTCCTAATGTGTTGTTCCCTTCGATGAAGGAGAATGTTGAAGCCAGGCGTGTACGACCGAGCAAGGGTAAGGAAGGGGCAAGGAGCCAGAGCGTGCGGATGACCTTGTCTTTGGATGACGAGACGCCTACGACACCAATACAGGTCGAGGCGACTAAGTCCGCAAGGGGATCTACCTCTGACAAAGGATGGACAGAGAATTGAAGGAGAGGAAGTCATGCTTTCCTCGCGCAAGCGTGGAGCCCAGAAGTTTACTATGAAGGGCACCTTGGACGATATTGATGCAGTGGAGCCTCTTAGACGCGCGCTTAGGCAACCAATGCAGTGCATGATACTTGAGTACTTGGCGGCTTCGAGACCCACGCGAGATGAGCTATAGATGATCAGGTGCAAGACGCGCATTCTCCTGGGAGACGAAGTCCAAATGACTTCCAAACCAGAGGTACCCTCTGTGGCAGTATCAGGAGTGTGCGCAAATGCAGAACACGCAACGACAGTGCATTTGGATAGAATGGAAGGCGTGCCTCCTGACAAGTTTTACATTTTAGGGAGTGGTACAGTGGAGACCATTCTCAATGACGAGGTAGTCCTCCATGGGGTGATTGACAATGGCAGCGAAGCTGTCATCATAGACGAGGAACGCGCCGTGCGATTAGGACTGGACCTCGACAGGTCTTACTTGTTCGAGATAGAGACAGCCAATGGAAGAAAGCAGAAGATCTTCGGGGTCTGTCACAACGTGGCCATTGAGGTTGAAGGGCTGCGCGTGTTGATGCCTGTTTTCGCAGTCAGGAACTGCAGTTCGGATTTACTACTAGGGCGGACGTGGTTAAGCCATGTTCATGCTGTTACTGTAGAGCGATCGGACGGGAGCCAGATGCTTTCTATTAAGCATCCGGATGGTGGACAAATCATGATAGAGACAGTCGAGCCTCGTGATCCAAGGAACAGAGCGGCCCTAGCAGATGGTGGTGGCCGCAAGCCGGTCACGCTCGCGAGTCGCTCTTTGCGATTCTGCGAAAAGAAGTATGGGGCATTGCTCACAGAAGAAGAAGGACGCATAGTGGAAATCGAGGACTTAGGTAATCGCGTCCTTGTGGGAGAAAACTCCTACCTCAAGGATGAAGACGAGGAATTTCTCCGTGTCTTTTTCAAAGGCGCAGCCCCCTACGGGGGGCGACCAAAGAAGCACAAGGCAGTAACTCAGAAAGTCAAGCTGGTGGCGGTAGCCCGAGAGTAATCCGCACTAGATGGGATATCTAAGGAGGAGATCGCGATAAAGATTAAAGAAAGGAAGAAGAGGGAGCCGCAACGGTTGACAGAAAAAAAGATAGGGGAGATGAACATAGGAGATGGGAATTTAACAGAACAAGAGAAGGAGCGCGTGCTAAAAGTTCTTAAGACTTGCGATAAGGCCATAGCCTTTAGCCATGCGGAAAGAGGAAGAATCGACCCTAGATATGGCAAACATGCTAGGATCTACACTATTCCGCATACTCCATGAAATGATGTTGGGTGAAAGTTTGCACAGAAAGAGAAGGAAGAGGTAATCGCATTTCTAAAGGAGAAGATGGCGTCGCATGTGGCGGAGCCGTCTGATAGTGCTTATGCGAACAGGTGGTTCTTTTTACGGAAGCCTAACGGGAAAATTAGATGGATTCAAGATCTTCAAAAGGTTAGCGCGGTTACAATTCGGGATATGGGTTCCATACCGCACGCTGATCTATTGGCAAAGGGAGCGGCAGGTAGATCTATCTACTATGTCTGCGATCTATTTTCAGGTTACGACGAGATACCCCTAGATCCTAGAGATAGACATCTCACTGCCATGCACACGCCACTCAGATTAGTGCAGATGATGGTTGTGCCTATGGGATGGACCAATGGGGTTGCGGTCTTCCAGAGAGCTATAGTTGTTGTTTTGAAAGACTTCATACCTGACAAGGTTGAAGTCTTTTCGGACGACTTTCCAATAAAAGAGTCCGTGTTGAAAGATGAGACGGAGGTTGCTCCTGGCGTCAGGAGATTCGTAGAGCAGCATCTAACGGACATCTACGTGGTCTTGGAACAGCTAGATCAAGCTAATCTAACGGTCAGTGGGACGAAGAGCCGATGGACAGTCTCGACGATCAAGATTTTAGGGTTTATATGTGATTCGAGAGGTCGCCAAGCGGACCCGACAAAGTTGGATAAACTCCTGAACTCGCCAACTCCGTTGCATAGCGCTACCGAAGTCCGGCAACTCTTAGGAGTTGTAGGCCACTGGAGGATCTTCATACGTGGATACGCGGAGAAGGTAGACCCTCTGCGGACTCTCCTTAGGAAAACTGAGCGATTCCACTGGGATTCTCCTCAGGAGCTTGCGATATTCACCCTCAAGGAAGAATTTAAAGAAGGGGGACGAATCCTAGGTGTGCCGTTTTTCGAGGACGAAACCAACAGACCCTTCATAGTGTCTACCGATGCTGGACCATGTTCGGTTGGAGGACTGCTTTTACAGAAGGACGCTGATGGCAAGGAGAGACCGCTGAGATTTGAGAGTCGAACTCTTAACACTGCAAAATGCAACTACAATCAATTTGAAAAGGAGGTGTTAGCTGTCCTACTGTGTTTAAACGCTTTTAGACACTACATTTACGAGAGGCAATTCATTTTACGGGTAGATCCTACGGCAGTAGCGTTAGTTTTACAGAAAGACTTCAGTCTGACTGATCGCACTATCGCGCGATGGCTGATTAGGATTCGGCTCTACGATTATACTGTGGAGAGAATTTCGGGTACAAAAAATGTAGTAGCTGATGGGCTCTCGCGAATTCCGATTGAGACCGAGCGACCAATAGCGGCAGTCGCACTGACTATGACTGAGCCTAGACGGACTGATCGATTCCTAGTAAACCTCTATGAAGGTAAGTATCGGACCATCGGGCTGCATCTATCTGGAGAGGAGAGTTCGGATTTCGAGAGCCGGAGACAAGCAGGTCAGTATTGCCTTAGATCTGAACATTTGTTCCGCAGGCTCGCGGGGTCAGAGATGCCTCTGCGAGTGGTCTGTGACCCGGAGGAGAAGCAGTCCATAGTGGCGGAACTACATGACGGTGTGGTCGGTGGACATAGAGGAGTACAAGGGACATATGAGAAGGTCCGAAGACTATACTGGTGGGAAGGTTAGTACAAAGACGTCGAAAAATATTATATGACCTGTGAGGAGTGTCATAAGAGATCGCTTGTTAGATACAAGGAGCCGCTTCATCCATCGTATCCTACTCGATCGGGCGAGAACGTGCACATCGATCTAGTTAAGATGCCAAAGGGCGTAGGCAATATGAACTACGTCGTAAACATCAGAGATGACTTCACTGGGTTTGTTGACGGAAAACCTATTAGAACCAGGGCAGCTAGAGAAGTAAAGAACTTTGTTCTTGACTACCTGTCTAGATACGGGTGTGTCAGTAATATTGTGATGGACAGAGGAGCGGAATTCCTAGCAGACGAGGTGCAAAATGTGTTCAAGAAAGCTAGAGCTAGAGTATCAATAGCTACTGCCTATCACCCTTAATCCAATGCACCGGTAGAGCGAGGACATCAATCCTTGATAACGTCCCTATCCAAGTGGTGTAAAGGTAAGGATAGCGATTGACCGAAATACTTCCGATATGCGATATGGGCGGATAATGTCACAGTTCGATCTAGCACAGGGTACCCGCCTTACACTCTATGGTTCGGGAGGCACTGCCTTCTGCCCATAGAGTTTCATGTCGATAATTGGACTACAGTTGACTGGGCGGATAGTATGTCGCGAGAGGAGCTTCTAGTCGCTAGAACTAGACAAATAGCCTACAGATTAGAGGACAATCTCATGACCGCGACCGATCGATTGGCGGTGGAGAGAGGCAAAGGCAAAGAAAGATGGGATAAGGATGTCAGGGTTAGAAAGGAGAATATAATTGTGGGTGATGTGGTACTTCTCTACGATGCAGCACTAGAAAGGACGTGGTCAGGAAAGTTGGCAAACAGATGGATGAGACCTTACCTCGTAGTCGGCACGCTCAGTTAGGAAGCATATATGATTGCTGAGTTAGATGGGTCTAAGTGGAAGGATCTTGTGACAGGGGCTAGACTGACGTTGTTTAGGGCAAGGAATACCCCTACTCATGCTCTGACACTGTCAGACCTTAAGGCAAAGGGGAAAGCGAAGGTGACGAATGAAGGACCGTCGAGGCAGTTCGAGCTAGGTGAGAGTTCGAAAAAAAGGAAGAGAGTAGAGACCAGGAAAGTGAAGGGCTTGACTCCGGGAAAGAAAAGGGAATGTTTTTTGTGCTATGAAGGCCTAAGCGCCGAGTCCACATAAGACGAGGTGGCGCATTTGCTGCACTGTCACCCCCACGAAGAAAAAAACAGAGAAATATCCCTATATCTAAGTCCAAACGAGCGCGACATAAGAGAGTGAAGAAACACCCTCTTAGTCCTAGGGTTCCAGAAAAACCCAAGCGCCAGACAGATAAGCACAAGCATAAGAGCCGCGCTCGCGTGATCAGTCCAAATCTTATACGATTCGTCTGAATATGGCGGTGCGGGCTCGACGGGGGCGTCGAGAGGAGGTCCGGGCTTGTTTGTCGGGCGGCCGAAGGCCAGTCGGCCACCCGAAATCCGACGAATTAACCCTTAGATTATCTGCCTAAAGAGGGATTGACAGGGACTTTCGTCCGAGTCGTCTGGAGAAATTAGGGGTCGAAGAGAGACCCCTAATATTCTCCATGTCAAGTACTGACACTAACCCTTGAAATCAATGAGAGGAACGGCTGCGCCTGCTGCGCCTAGTGCCTATCATTTTGTCCGTTCCGAGGTTGTTCCCGAAGCGGTTGGCCGCAGTACGGAGGCATGGTGGTAGGCCTCGACGCATCGCTTTCACACTCAACAATTGACGAGGAATTGAACCCCCAGTTTTTATTAATTTTCATATGAAAAGTAAAATTGAGAAAGAGGATTAAAAATAATAAAAGGGAAACAAATAATGGAATATTTGCTATTTAATTAAATTCCATCGGAATCTATTTCTGATGAAATTGCCCTTCATTTTCTTTATTTCCGATAATATAATTAAGAGTGAGAAAAATAATTAAAAATAATAAAAGAAAAGAACACCAATGATTATTTAATATTTGATTAAATTTTATTTGAATCATTCACGATGGGATTTAGCCCTGGATTATTTATTTATCCTGATTCTAACGATTTTCTCTATTTCCTGATAATTGCTATCCCTAATGTGACTTACCTGATATGCCTGATTCCAGCCTCGCCGCAACCTGTGTGTTATGAGTGAGTGCGAGTTGGATGAACGGCATGGTGTTGCCCCGTGTTACCTCGGTTGTGCAGCTCGGCTTCATTGTTTCGGTGTGATCGCTTGTTCGGTTTGGATACGTGGTTGGGGGCGGTTCGAAACTATTTCTGCGCTGCGGCATTGTACGTCATTCGACATGTTTCAGGCTCGGATTTGGTTCGCCAGGTTCGGCATTGGCACGATACAGGTTACATCGACTCTGAATGATCATTTCAGATTCGGCACTTGTGTGGTGACACTAGGTTGCCATGACTACAGATTCGGCATTCTTGGCGCTGGTACTGGTACAACATACTATTCCCTGATTCGGATATTTGGTACAGTCGCAGCTGACGCTCATGACGGTCCGTGCCTATTAATTTTTCTTGGAATGGTTCGGTACAGGTTTGGCACTGTGACGGTATGCTGCAGCATATCCTGATTCTTTTCGAGGTTCGGGACAGATACAGTACTGGCACGATGTTTGCTGCGTTGTACGGTATTCGGCATTAGACAGGTACAGTTCCGCGGTTCCGTGCAGTAATTTCTCGTGTAGATACTGGTCCGGTACTGGTACGGTGCACGTGCTGCTTGGTACGGTATCCGACTGGGTCTGGGACCGCCGCAGTTCAGCCTGGTTCATTGTCCTTATTCTGATACAGTTTCAGACTTACGATGACCTTGTCGCGACGACACAACCACTGGCTCGACACTGTGTCAGTACACTGCGTGGTTGCCGCCGTTGTATCGGCACGATTGGAGGTTCGGTACTGGTCGCTGGCATGGTATTGAGTCTACTTCGGGTTACCGTGGTTGGGATGAATCTGGCCGCACAGCAGTCTGTCGGTTGCGGATGATTCACTGGGGGTGTACATTTTCATTTCATGGCATGGACATTGGTGGCCGTTCCTATGGTTACTCACTATTATTTTGGTATGGTGGCTGTTTTGGTCGCAGTACCGTCTACAACATTTG